TCCCCCGGCCCGTTTCACCCGACGCTGACTGGAGTTCGCACCGAGTGCGAGAGCAGCAGGGAGGGGCAGCGTGCAACGGCTTAGCTCCGCGGCGTTTAGAGGAACGACCACAGGGGACGGTGCGTGGCTCTCCCGTGGACCTTGAGCACAAGCCCGGTCCCAACCACGGTCCCAGTGCAGAGCAAAGGCAGGCCAGGGAAGCACAGCGCAACGCAGGCCCCATGTTCGGGGCTGCTCGAGGCACTTCGCTTGACAGCTTTCTGAACAGGAGTGGGGTGGAATCAAGGAATGATGATAACACCTGCTTTTTTTGATCATCCAAAGAAGTTGGCCAGAGTTTAGCAGAACAGCTCCGGGAAAGAGCTTACCGGAGTCCTCCACGGAGGCCCTGCTCATTCCTCTGAGTGTTCATGGGAAATCATGAGGCATCACCTTATGGCCTGATTTGGCTCCTTCGGACTTCTTTTTGTTTCCTAATCTGAAAAACCTCTTCTTTTTTTTTTTTTTTGGAGAGGTTTTTGCTATAGGGCGCATGCGCTCACCAGAAAGACAGAGAGAGACGAAGAGACAGAAAGCAAGAAATCATCCTCCAGGGGTGATGACCACACCGCAATCCCTCTTCCTCCATTCTCCTCTCGGGATCTTGGGCACGCACGTACACGTGCCCGGCGTGAGTTTAAGCCACCAGGTCCGGGACTCGAACTGCGGTCAACTACACGGGAGTCCAGAGACATAGCCATTATACCATTTGTTGAACTTTAATCTGAAAACATCTCTAGAGGGCACCCCTTTTCTTGGGATAAGAATGTGAGAGAGCACACTGGCATGCTTCCATCCTAGGGACCCTCAGTTCTTTAGGGCTGGCTGCTTCTCCCTGGCCTGCAGAGAACCACCCTCCCTCGGCCTCCCGCATGGCTGCCTGCTGCTCCCACACCTCTGACCACTGGCTCTCCAGGCTCGGTCCTGGGACCTCTGCTTTTCTTAGGGGATGCTCACTCCCTAGGGAATCTGGGCCAACCTCAGGGCTTCGAATATCTTCTCACCTGCAGAGCCCGAGACTCACACCTGACCCGGTTCACTTTCTCTTCCATCCAAACTGTGCCAGTGCCACCCTGCTTCGTGTAAACCCGACCACAGCTCCCAGAGTCCTTGGTCCTGGTGAGAGTCATGGATCGGAGGCCCTCGGGACCTGAGAGCTCCAACAGGTCCCTCATCCCTCCTTCCCTGCTGTTCTGCGCTCTTCTTTTCTCTCTCTTTTTTAGTGTTTGCTATAGTGTGCATGCGCTCACCAGAAAGAGACTGAGAGAGAGGGGAAAGTGAGAAAGCACCTCCCAGGGAGGACGACCACGCTGTAATCCCATCGCCCTCGTTCTCATCTAAAGGTTTTGGGCACACATGCTCGTGCACCCTGCATGATTCCCAAGCCACTGGGTCCAGGACTCGAATCACTCTGTCAGCCATATGGAATCTAACCTTAACACCACGTATGGGCCCTATTTCCTCTTTTAAAAAAGAGAAAGAAATAAAAAGGCAGAACACTATGAGCAATACTACAAAAAGAAATGAGTTCCAGCTCACAACAATTTTTCTCTCTTCTCTGAAGCTTGTCAAACTAGCCACTGTCAGGCTGGCTGGTGGCATGGTGGTTAAGGCGGCTGGATCCCATCTGGTTGACTGTGGCATTCGAGTCCGGCCTGCAGGCTTCAAAAACCAGCCAGGTGCATGTGCGCCCACAATCTTGAAAGGAGGGAGAGATGGAGAAGGGATTGCAGTGTGACTGTCCCCCGTGGAGAGGTGCTATCTCTCCTCTCTGTGTCTCTGTCCAGTGAGCAGAAGTCCCTCTGACAGAGGGACTCTGCTTACTCTGCATAGATGAACTTAAGTGCTTTTCTGCTTATTTTGCATCTCAGGAGTTAAAGGCGGAGCCTATTTTTACAGTAAAAATGATGTCCTCAAACTAGCTAATTTGGCTCAATTATCAGTTTGTCGCTCTTAGTCAGAATGGACCCACTGGGGCCAGCAGGTGGCATGGTGGTTGAGGCGCTGGAGTCCCACATGGCCAACCATGTTTCAAGTCCCGGACCTGGTGGCTTGCTTTCTCATTCTCTCTCTCTCGTTGGGGAGTATGTGTGTCCTATAGCAAAATTAAAATAATAATAATGATAAATAAAAATAAATAAATGGTTCTAAAAAAATTCAAAAGGGACTCGGTGCATCATCACAGCATATCGGCTATTATATCCACACAGGCATTCTCTCACAAGACGATGAAACTCAAGATTGATTAAAAAGATGAAAGGTACCCTGTCAGTACTCAGTCATTCTTTTGGAAAATTTGGACATAAACAATCATGGGCTCAGTTACATGAGTAGTCTACAGAGTGAAAATAAAATTCAATATTGATTTTTAACATCTTGTTTACATTATCGCTCATTCCTACCACCACACGCAAGTGACCAGCAAGGTCAGACAAAAGGTTCTGTAACAGCGTTTGCCACAGCGGAAGTCTGAACAAGAACTTGGAGCCTCATCTCCAGGAGGGCTCTGAAGTAGGGGCGTCCGTTCCCCACACCAATAGGACAGGCCAGCAGGGAGGAGGCCACGTGCTAAGCACCCCGATCTGCACATTGTAGGCCCTCTTCCAGTTGTCATTTTATAGCAATTAAAGAACTGGAATAAAGGCCACAAGGCAGCATGTATTTGGCTGCCCAAGAAAGTCTTTTCCAGAGAGCAACAATTTAAAGCAAAGAGAACTTTGTCTGAGAATGACAGAAATTAAAATGCTCCAGGAAGTTTATGTGGGGACAGAGTTTTTGATGCTTAAACATAGCTGGACTATGTACTGTCAGATTATTTATAATTTCCATGATGAAAATGCGATGCTACAAATTTCCAAGTAAATGTCAGTACCAAAGAGTTCTGAATAGGGAAGAAATCTGCCCACACAGAACCGAGGCCTCATTTCTTCTGGCCACTGTCCCTCTGCACTCGGAGCAGGCGGGTCCCCACAGGCCGCCTGCCAGCAGGTTCTACAGGCTAAAGGCAGGCGCTGGTGGCAGGCCAGGGCCAGTTCTGGCTGCATCCTTTGCCTTTTGCGAGACAGTTCATCTCAGGCTGGGAGATGACCTTCCGAATTCTAGAACCAACCTCCCATGGCAATTCTACTAGCTCTCCTCCCCACATCGGACAGGATTCCCGAAGGTCACTGATCAGTTCTGTCCGGACATCTGGACCGCCCACCTGGTTTAGGAACACAGTAAGTGATCCAGGCCAGGTCTCTGGGGTTTCAGGTACCTGTGCGCGCTTGTTCTTAACCCAGAGGGGTGGAACAGGGCTACCTGTAGCTTCTTTCCTGGAGACTAAGCCCCAGCCAATAACGAAACCGTATTTCATGGGCAGAGAGATCGGAGAAAGCCTTTGGAAAAGTCAAAAGACACGAGGGGTGTGTGTGTGTGTGTGTGTGTGTGTGTGTGTGTGTGTGTGTAGCGGGAGGAGGGCAACCGCGATGCACCTGTTAGGCTAAGGAAAGGGGAATCCGACAAGGGCCCGCAGAGTCCGCGTTTTGCAAAGTCTGGCCGCATGAACTACCCACGGTCCCTACAGGCTGAGCCGCCCGGGGTTGCCAGCGTGTCCAGATACTTCACAGATGTTTAACCTCCGAAGTAGACCGGTTCACCCTTGAAAAATGGCACCCACGGCAACAAGTGAGGGCAAGGGTGTCGCCTGCCCAGAGCAAAATCCCAGGCGCTAGCGGTCCCTTGGCACCCTGCGAGGCGGGAGCCTGCGATGCCGCCGGCGCCTCGCGGTGACCCCGCCCACCTCGCCGGGCCCGGGGCCCCCCAGAGCCTGCGCAGGCTGGCACCCAGGCGGCGCGCGCCTCTCCCCCGCCCACTTACTGTTGCCGGACTTGAGGTCGCGGTGCAGGATGGGCACGGCCGCCTCCTCGTGCAGGTAGAGCATGCCCCGCGCAATCTGCACGGCCCAGTTGACCAGCACGTGCGGGGGGATGCGGCGTGCACGGCGCAGGCCGGGCGCGCGTGGGTCGGGGGCGGCGTTGGCTGCGGCCAGCGCGCGGTTGAGCGCTCCGCCGCGGGCGAACTCGAGCACCAGGCAGAGGTGCGGCGGCTGCAGGCACACGCCGCGCAGTTCGATGATGTTGGGGTGCCGCAGCATGGCGAAGAGCCGCGCCTCCCGCCACACGCTCTCCGCTGTTGCCCGCGCC